TGTGAGAGAGAGGTTGCAGGGTGAAAAATAATTCGTCACCCACAAGGGCTGGGAGATGCTTTTGGACTCTATCTTTGATGGAAAGTGAGGTCTTTGCAGCTCCCGCCCAAATATGACAACAGTATTCCATTCTTGGCCTGATTTGGCTCTTGTAAAGGTAGAGGATAGCAGGAGTCAAGTATTTACTGAAGCGGTACAGTAAAACGATCATTTTGCCTGCATCTTTAGCGATGGTTCGTATGTCCGAGTTTCACTTGAGGCTAGTGGTGAGTTTAAGGGCCAATAGTCTCTCAAGGCACGGTATCTCACCGAGGGGACATCCATCCATTGTGGGTGGTTGTAGCTCGGTGTCCAATAATGGTTATTACATTTAGATATGTGTGTAAAGATAACATATTTTATAGGACACACTTTATATTACTATTTCTGTCCTATAATGTTTCTTATATTTAGTACAAGATATATCTATAATTGGATTTACTTTTAACCAATAAAAATGTATATATACATATGGGACAAAGGTCATGTCATTTAATTATCTCTGTCCCATAATGTCTAATATATTTGTCATATGAAATTTTTATGCAAATGTAACGACTTTTATGGAGCAGAAGTCATATTAATTTTCTATCAGTGTTCCATAATGGTTGATACATTTAGTCTTTGAAATATGGATAAAATTGTAATAACAATTATGGGACAGAATTCATATTATTTTTTTATCAGTCTCCAATAATGGTTGATACATTTAGTCTTTGAAATATGGATAAAATTGTAATAACAATTATGGGACAGAATTCATATTATTTTTTTTATCAGTCTCCAATAATGGTTGATACATTTAGCCTTTGAAATATGGATAAAATTGTAATAACAATTATGGGACAGAAGTCATATTATTTTTCTATCAGTGTCCAATAATGGTTGATACATTTAGTCTTTGAAATATGAATAAAATTGTAATAACAATTATGGGACAGAAGTCATATTATTTTTCTATCAGTGTCCAATAATGGTTGATACATTTAGTCTTTGAAATATGAATAAAATTGTAACAACAATTATGGGACAGAAGTCATATTATTTTTCTATCAGTGTCCAATAATGGTTGATAAATTTAGTCTTTGAAATATGAATAAAATTGTAATAACAATTATGGGACAGAAGTCATATTATTTTTCTATCAGTGTCCAATAATGGTTGATACATTTCGTCTTTGAAATATGAATGAAATTGTAACAAAAATTATGGAGCAAAAAGAATAATATTTTACTATGTCTATTACGAAAAAGAGGTAATATGATTTCATATCTCTGTCTCATAATACTTGTTGCAATTATCCGATGAAATATGCATGTAAATGTAGCAATTTTTATGATTCAGGGTTCAAATTATGTTCCTATCTCTGTCCCATAATAGTTGTAACATTTAACATTTAAAATGTGTGTAAAAGTATAAAAATTATTATTGGACAGTGGTAAACGTTATTGGCTTTTCACAATAATAGTTGTTACACTTACTCTTTGAAAGACGTCTGTAGAATTGGTTTTTCTCCCTTTTTTTTTTGGCTTGAAAAGACTTTGGAATCTTAAAATTGATGTGAAAGATACGTTTATCTTGACATTTTTTTCGTAAAATGATTAATATCAAGTGGATCTTAAGGGTCCTACAACACAAACTTGAGTCAACACAGTTACTTGCCATATTTTCCCCTTTTTTCTGTCTCTGACCAACGACTTTGAATAATGCTAAACTGATCATTACCCGACAGGCACCAAATATCAGTTTTCGACATTACTTAGGTTATATTTATCAGAAACATATAATGTAGACGACTATCCCAATGCTTTTTTTTGTTGTTGGTGGTGAACCCATTTTTGACAGTAAAAATCCCTAAAATATGTCGAAATAGAATAAATGCATAATTTAGGTTAATTTAAAAAAATGATCGATATCAAGTAGATTTTGAGAACCCTACTGTCATTACTCGCTTTTGGGAGCCTATGCAAATATTTTCAATATTACTTACCTTGTATTTATCGGAATGGTATAATCTACCCCTCTATACCAATGAATCCTGGATGAATCCTGGATGAATCCTGGATGAATCCTGAATTGATTTTCTCTCAGAAAATCCCTAAAATAGATTTGAATAGGTTGATTTTTTAAAAAAAAATCTATATCAAGTGAATTTTGGGGTCCCTACAGCAAAAACTCCAGATGCAGAGTTATTTTACCTGTTTTTCTGTCTCTGACGCACGACTTTGAATAACAAAAAACGCCCGATAAAAATCTTATACTCATTTTTAGTGCCATGTCCAAAATATCAAAACAATTTAAATCGGTAAAATAAAAAAGAATTACCTCCAGGAAGATATTTAAGACGCACACAATTCCTTTCAAGCTTTGAACTCCTCTGTCTATATCTCTGAGATGAGGTATTATGATTACTTGCATTATTTACATTATTTCGACTGGACTGTTATCCTCATGTTCATTGCCATATTCACAACGTTTCGGACGTTGTAAACTCCGGCTTTTTTCAGGTGATTGGAATTTCCTTCTATATCTGTCTATATCTCTGACATAAGGTATTATGATTACTTGCATTATTTACATTATTCGGACTGTTATCCTCATCTTCATTGCCATATTCACAACGTTTCGACCTTCTTCAATATCTGTCTATATCTCTGAGATGAGATATTATGATTACTTGCATTATTTACATTATTTCGACTGGACTGTTATCCTCATGTTCATTGCCATATTCACAACGTTTCGACCTTCTTCAATATCTGTCTATATCTCTGAGATGAGGTATTATGATTACTTGTATTATTTACATTATTTCGACTGGACTGTTATCCTCATGTTCATTGCCATATTCACAACGTTTCGACCTTCTTCAATATCTGTCTATATCTCTGAGATGAGGTATTATGATTACTTGTATTATTTACATCATTCGGACTGTTATCCTCATCTTCATTGCCATATTCACAACGTTTCGGACGTTGTAAACTCCGGCTTTTTTCAGGTGATTGGAATTTCCTTCTATATCTGTCTATATCTCTGACATAAGGTATTATGATTACTTGCATTATTTACATTATTCGGACTGTTATTCTCATCTTCATTGGCATATTCATGGCCCAGTGGATAAAGACATTGGTTACATCCAGTGACTAGACTCAAAGAGTTGTGAGTTCAATACCAGATCACAGCAATGACGAACCAAACACTTGGAGATTTGATTTAAAGGGAAATGACTGAGACATCCGGAAGAGGCATGGCACGTGGAACAAGAAAAATCTACCCCGGTGGACGAAATACAAGGGTCCCGTCCGAAATTTCATCTACATTCTGAAATCTTCTTCTTTTTGCTATGTTCCTTTATGATGTTGGCGATCATGGCTCTCTTCTATATTCTGTCCATTGTAGATCTTAGTAAATTTTGTCTTTTCGCCATCACCCCTAAACTCTGTTCTAACAACCGTTTACACAATATCATTAGATAGGTTATATGCTGTTTTCTTCTGACCTTCTTGCCTCTAACGTGTCCTGTGAGTGCCAAATTTTCTAAATTCTCTTTCCTTATGTACCCTAGAAAGTTCAACTGTCTTTTTATAAATATCAAGTATAAGTGTCCGCTTTGTTGCTATTTTCAACACTAATTCGTCATTGAAATTCTCAACATCCTTCTGTAGAACCACATTTCTGCTGCCTCTACTTTCTTCTTCATCTGTGAGAAGATTGTCCAGTATTCACTGCCATATAGGAGATTAGATATTACATAGCCGTCCAATACTTTTTCTTTGTTTTGGGATAGTCGTGGCCCAGTGGAGAACCACATTCTGTCACTTCAAGTCTCTTCTTCAACTTCAAAGAGATTGTCCAGCATTCACTGCCATATAGGAGATTAGATATTACAAAGCCGTCCAAGGCTTTTTTCTTTGTTTCTGACTGACACTCATCAGTAGAACCACATCTCTGCCCTTCAAGGCTCTTCTTCATCTGTGAGAAGATTGTCCAGCATTCCTGTCCATATAGGAGATTAGATATTACATAGCCGTCTAACACACTTTTCTTTGTTTCTAAGGACACTCATCATAGAATCACATCTCTGTCCATTCAAGTCTCTTCTTCATTCTGTGAGGAGATTGTCCAGCATTCACTGTTCTATATAGGAGATTAGATATTACATAGCCATCCAACACTCTTTTCTTTTGTTTCTAAGGACTAACTCGTCCAGTAGAACCAAATCTCTTCCTTAAAGTCTCTTCTTCATCTGTGAAAGATTGTCCAGCATTCACTGCCATATAGGAGATTAGATATTACATATTTTTCAACACGAATTTTCTTTGTTTCTCAGGACATCCTTCTGTAGAACCACATCTCTGTCTTCTGCCTCTCTCTTCTTCATCTGTGAGAAGATTGTCCAGCATTCACTGCCATATAGGAGATTAGATATTACATAGCCGTCCAACACTCTTTTCTTTGTTTCTAAGGACACTCATCAGTAGAATCACATCTCTGTCGCTTCGAGTCTCTTCTTCATCTGTGAGGAGATTGTCTAGCATTCACTGCCATATAGGAGATTAGATATTACATAGCCGTCCAATACTCTTTTCTTTGTTTCTAAGGACACTCGTCAGTAGAACCACATCTGTGAGGAGATTATTCAGCATTTACTGACATATAGGAGGACTGATATTACATAACCGTTCTATTCTTGTCTACTTACTCGATTCATTTTCTCTCCGTATGCAGGCGGTTTGGTCCCAATTTAAGTTATTGATTATTCTAATATCCTTTCCAAATATGAATGAAAGAAAGACGAAAAGTTTATTGATGAAAATCGGAATCATTAAAAAGAGGAAAAAAGGATTAAAGAAAGAAAGAAAGAAAAAAAGAAAGAAAGAAAGAAAAAGAAAGAAAGAAAGAAAAGGAAAATTGAATAAAGAAGAAAAAAGTCAGTCATCAAAAATGTAAATGGATTAAAGAAATACAAAATGAAAAAGAAAAGAAGAATAAAGAAACAAAGAGAGAATTAGGAAAAAAAAAGGAAAAAAAGAAAGAAAGAAAGAAAGAAAGAAAGAAAGAAAGAAAGAAAGTAAGAGAGAAAAGAGAGGCGAAAAATTAATAAAATAAAGTATGTCAGAATTATCAAAACGACGAAAGAAATGAAGAACGAAAATGGAATGAAGAAAGAAAGAAAGAAAGAAAGAAAGAAAAAAAGAAAGAAAGAAAGAAAGAAAGAAAGAAAGAAAGAAAGAAAGAAAATAAATCTAAGAAAGAATAAAGAAAGGATGAAAATGGATTAAAGAAAGAAAGAAAGAAAGAAGGTAATTGAGTGAAGGATCGAGAAAGAAAGAGGAATTGTGCAAGTGGAGAAGAAAAACAAGAAAGAAAGAAAGAAAGAAAGAAAAAAATGAATCTAAGAAAATAAAGAAAAAAGATACAAGAAATTAAAAAAATGGAATTATCAAAACGACGAAAGAAATAAAGATAGAAAATGGATTGAAGAAAGAAACGCAGAATGAAGAAAGAAAGAAAATGAATTTAAGAAAGAATAAAGAAAGGATGAAAATGGATTAAAGAAAAAAGAAAGATAGAAAGAGAGAGAGAGAAACGAAAATTGATAAAGATGTCAGAATTATGAAAAAGACGAAAGAAGTGGGAAAAAGAAAGAAAAAAGAAAGAAAGAAAGAAAGAAAGAAAGAAAAGAAAAAAATGAAAAAGAAAGAAAAAAGAATAAAAAAAATGAATTTAAGAAAGAAAGAAAGAAAAAAAAAAAGAAGAAAGAAAGAAAATGAATTTAAGAAAAGAAAGAAAAGAAAAAAGAAAAGAAAGAAAGAAAAGAAAGAAAGAAAGAAAAAAATGAATCTAAGAAAGAATAAAGAAAGGATGAAAATGGATTAAAAAGAAAAAAGAAAAAAAAGGTAATTGGTGAACGATCGAGAGAGAAAGAGGAATTGAGCAAGTGGAGAAGAAGAAAAGAAAGAAAGAAAGAAAGAAAGAAAGAAAGAAAATGAATTTAAGAAAGAATAAAGAAAGGATGAAAATGGATTAAAGAAAAAAAGAAAGAGAGAGAGAGAAAGAAAGAAAAACGAAAATTGATAAAGAATATCAGAATTATGAAAAGACGAAAGAAGTGGGAAAATGGATCATTGAAAGAAAGAAAGAAAGAAAGAATGAATGAATGAATGAAAAGAAAGAAAGAAAGAATGAAAGAAGAAAGAAAGAAAATGAATTTAAGAAATACAAAATGTAGAAAGGAAGAAAGATTAAAACGACAAAGCATTAAATGCGGTTAAATGATAAGTGAGGTTGTTTAGAATACAAAAGTTTGGCATAGTAAGAGTTAGAAAAGGTAAAGGGTAAAAACAAGTCAACATAAAAATAAAAACAAGAAACCTGTGATGGAGCCATAGAGTTAATGGAGAGAGACGAACATTTCGCTTTTACTATTTGTGGCAAAAGGCAAATCTATGGAGGAAACTGAAGAAAACAGGAAGTGATTCGCAGAATCCTTGTCGCCCTTAAAGGTTCAGTTAATTTAGAAGCCCTCCCTCTCCCACAAGTAGAGGACACAAAATAAAATATCGTTCCGATCTAGCACCTCATTTTTATTACGATTAATATTAACAATTTTGCAGTCATTGCGACTAGGAGGTGCTTTTCAGTTGCGTTTGCGAGGTGGTGCTGAAAAGTTCTCAGCTCAAACCAATTCCCAAAGTTTTTTCAAGTGACTAAGTAGCTGAATTTTATTCTCTTTTTTTATAGGTTTGCTTTGTTTTGTTTTGTTTTACGGTATATCAACCTCAATGGGTTATTTAATGCCGACAAAATTTTTATCTATCTATCTATCTATCTATCTATTTGGTTTGGTTTGTTTTACGGCATATCAACACCTCAATGGGTTACTTAATGCCAACATGTTTTTTATTGATAGTAATCTATCTATCTATCTATCTATCTATCTATCTATCTATCTATCTAACCCTTTTTCTATGTGTATTTGCATGTGTCTTTATCTATCTATCTATTGTTTTGTTTGTTTTGTTTTACGGAATATCAACACCTCAATGGGTTACTTAATGCCGACATGATTTTTATTGATAGTAATATTTTCTTTCTATCTATCTATCTATCTATCTATCTATCTATCTATCTATCTATCTATCTATCTATCTATCTATCTATCTATCTATCTATCTATCTATCTATCTATCTATTGGTTTGGTTTCTTTTACGGCATATCAACCTCAATGGGTTACTTAATGTCATCATGATTTTTATTGCTAGTAATATTTTCTTTCTTTCTTTCATTCTTTCTATCTATCTATCTATCTATCTATCTATATATCTATCTATCTATCTATCTCAGTATTTGTTATTTTTCTTATCACTCCTAAACTTTGGTCCATAATCCATTTACTTCAGCTCACTAGGTAGGTTAGGCGTTATTTTCCCCCGTCCCTCTTCTCTCAGCCCTGTGAGTATCAATTTTCCCAAACCCTCTTTCCTCGTGATATGCCCTAGAAATTTCACCTTTCTCTTCCTGGTGCGTATGAATAGAATATATATTCTTTGTAAGAAGTCAGTTTGTAGATCAGGTTTGGTTTGTTTACCATAGGGTAAACTATTAACCTCATATTAACCTCAATAGGTTATTTAATGCCGACAAAATTTTTATTGCTGTTAATATGTTTTTCTTTAAAAATCTATTTCTGGGAATAATTTTCTTTGAAGAAATCTATAGCTGGTCATATTTTTTTCAAAAAATGTATAGCTGTTTGTATTGCTGGTATTTTTTTTTAAAGTATTGCTGATAATAATTTTTCTTTCAAAAATTGTTGCTGGTAATATTTTTTTATTATTATTATTACAAAGTATTTCTGGTATTTTTTATTTTTTCTATTTTTACACAAGATCTGGTGTTAACTATTTGCCCATAGCTGGGACCCTAACAGGTGCTACAACCCCGGGTCAGGGGGGACCTGGGAACACCAGCCATTCAGAGGCGGTTCCACGCTCCTCGAAACCTCCTGATCAGGGGCCTTGCTGTTGGACGTAGTTTATCGTCTTACCAGGACGTGGATGTAGTTTATCATCATACCCAAGACGCGGATGTAGTTTATCGTCATACCCATAGGCTTCTTGGTTGTGTTTTTTTTTTTTTACTTTTTATCAAACCCTCACCAACGACTTGCCTGGTATTTTCTGGCATGAAATTATTAAAAGAGAACATCATTATTCAGGGTATCATCTTTGTTTTTTTAACGGCATATCAACACCTCAATGGGTCATTTAATGCAAAATTTAATTTTCTTTGGAGCTTGAGTATTTTTTTCTTGTTGCTTGTAATTTATTTCTTTTCAAAAAATTTAATTTATTTTTAATTTATATTTTAAATTTATTTTTACTCAAATTTGGGTGTTCACTTTTTGCCCATAGATGGGACCCTAACAGGTGCTACCACCCTGCGTCAGGGTTGACATGGGAACAACAGCAATTAAGAGGTGGTTACACGCTCCTCAAAAACCTGCTGATCAGAGGTCTTGCTGCCGGATATAGTTTGTCGTCATACCCTGGTCATGCTATCTTGGCTGCTGCCGCTGCTGCTGCTGCTGCAGCTGCTGCTGCTGCAGCAAATATGCTGCCCTTACAACCCTTGACAGTTACGGGTTAATAAAAAACCAAATTCTATTTCTAAATTATGATTTTTGAAAATCAAACTGAAATTAGTTGGAAACATTTTCACCCGAAGTAAAAGAAATAAAATCTTTATAGTAAATATTCTTGTATTATTTCCAACTATTGGTCTTATCTTGGTTGATATGGATGTTATTATACACACAACGTTTCGACCAAGTACCCTCTGTTCATAATCAGGTGTCCATTGTTTGGCTGATATGGGATATATGCTACAAAATTACAAAATTTACTGCTAAAATAAAATTTATTTTAAAAACTTTTAGATTTGATCTCAGATTGGGAGTTCACTATTTGGCCATAGCTGGGACCCTAACAAGTGCTACTACCCCGGGACCTGGGGAAAACAGCAATTAAGACGCACCTCAAAATCTCCCAATAAGAGGTCTTTTTGCTGGATGTAGTTTATCGTCATACCCAGAACGTACAGGATGTCCATAAATTGTCTGTATAATTTTAAAAATTCATTAAAAATTTTTAAAAAATATGGAAGATAACACTTACAGGGTATTTTGGATGATGTAGGTAAGCAAATAATTTTTTTATTTAATCACTTCTGAACACTTCCAGATGGTCTCCTTTGGTTGAAGTCTGACTTGTACTGTTCTTGAATGGATCGGTTGAAGCAATCAATGAAAAGCGCCCGGAGTTGACCAGTCCATCAGATCAACGCCAGAATTCATGTCTCTTTGCAAAACCAGCCAGAAATTGGTAAGGCATTAGTTCCTTTCATCTATTAAAAGCCGTGCCCGCCTGACTTTGTACCTTCGGATTTCCAAGTATTTCGATTCCGACAACATTCTCTTAATTGGGAGAACTTAATTTCCCTAGAAACCTTTAAAAACTAAGACCAGTTCAACTATACCCCCACCCCCGAGAAATATCCCACGTTCTTGGAGGACGGAATCACTGTCTGAAAAACGACGAAAAATCAAATTAAACACTATACGTGATACACGTTTGGACGATCATGTATTTTTCGATACATGACTGACGAGGCAGATTTTTTCCCCGCAGTAGGTTGCCATTTCTTTCTGCGGTAGACTTGTTACCAACCAAGACTAAAGAAGCGAGTCTATTCAACCCATAGCTGGTGGGGGGAGAAAAGATGGATTCTTACCTCTCCCAAGGGTATTTGGGCGTATGTTAATCTATCGAACCCGAATGGAATTCGAACTCAGCTCTCCAAGTTACTACTCCGAGCTGATATCCATTACACCACATGAGGAAAAAACATGTGGGAACGAATAAACCTATGTACCAATATCTAAATATTCTATTAAAAATTTACTTAAAAATTTATTAAGTTTTGTTTCACCCTACTATACACGTTGTCTCTATAAATTATCTGTACAATTTTAAAAAATTCATAAGAAGTTAAAAAAAAAAAAAAAATTACTCTACAGCAGAGGTCGACAATCCACGACGCTCGGACTACATCCGGCCCGCAAAAGGATTTTTGTCCGGCCCGCCAACTAAACCCTAGTAAGGAAGTAGCATGTTATTCCCGCAGTAAAATAAGGATCCATGTTTAAATAATATAACATTAACTACGTGTTGCGTAATGATTAGCCAGTTTGTCTCGCTAGAACAATTACGAGTGAGTAGTGAGTTCGAACCTCAGTGGATGCCCCCATACCTTTGGCTTTGTGCCACACCTAAGCCACGCTTAGAAAATCAACTCAACCTACGCATTGAAAACATAAGCTATCAAATATATTATTACATTTTATTTTAGAATTTTAATCATTGACATTTATAATACAAACAAAAGCAATATTAAAATTATTTTTGCACTAGCACCTTCTGGGAGGAGCGGTCTGGGGTGGAGACACTTAATTATAGTACATTTGATACCATCGCCCTCTAAAAGATTGCCGACACCTACTCTACAGGCTTTATTGGAAAACGGAGGTAAACAAATAAAGTTTTATTTAAATACATTTGAATACTTTCATTAATTTCTGCTTTTCTGCAAGGCATTTTCTGTTTCTATAAACTTGTTGTTCCCAGTAACTCATTCTAACTCCACTTGATGGTCATTTTTCATACAGTAATTCTGCTGGACCTGAGTTAATTTTTTTAAAAATCATTTCATCCCAAGCAAGGTGGGAATGCCACTAGTACACAGGAGGTTAAAGAGAGTGAAAAGGAGAGAAAAGACTGCATATGGGGAGGACTGAAGAAAGGACAAAAGATGAACAGGATTCAAGAAGAGAGAAGATGACGATTGATGTTGAAATATTACCAGCAATAAAAAAAATTGTCTGCATTAAATAACCCATTGAGGTTAATATGCCGTAAAAAAAGAGACCAAACCAAATTTTTTTCATACTGCAATTCTTTTATACTGCAATTCTTTATTCTGTAATTCTTTCATTCTGTAATTCTTTCATACTGTAACTTTATTCATACTTACCGTATTTAGAATTACAGTATAAAAGAATTACATACTGTAATTCCACTGGATCTGAGTCTCCATTTTGCTCTCGCTGAAGCAGGATAATCTTTTTTTTTTTCTTCTTTTTGGCATATTTCATTAAAATCCAGAATCAATAATAATCAGTTTTAACATTTACATGAAAAGATCAAGGAAAGTGAATTAAAAAAGAAGAAACTCTAGATAAATTAAATCTTCAACAATGTTTCTTTAATCTGCAAAGTGTATTAATGGGTTTTAAATGTAATTGATACGATAAAATGTCGGAAGTTGTACATATAATTCATGGACACCCTATGCAATAAAAATAGGAATAGTTGCCATATTTTCATGTTTTTCATCATATTGTAAAAAACAATATACAATATTAGAGGATAGATAGAACTCGTTAGTTTGCATTCAGTCTAGGGCGCTGTTTTCCAACGTGGGGGCAAGCGCCCCAACGACTCTGTTATGTTAAAAGAGAACACGGAGTTTTTTTTTATATCATTTGGCGGATGAGCATACCCAGGTGTGGGCGATGATGGGTATTTATCCATTTTTTTTTTTCAAATTTTCAAAAATTATTCAATACTGGTAACAAAACGAAATTTCTGAAAGGTATCTAAGGTTGTTAGAAGTTTTTTTTCGTTGCTTTTCCAACTTTCCTTTATGGCTGAATGTGGTTTCAACGCAGTTACAGCTCTTCTTACTAACAAATCGTGACATCTATCAGAGAGATGAAATTTAAATTTTTATTACAGTGTAACCCGGATATAAGAGACCCGGATATAAGAGAGATTTCTCTGGTCCCAAATTAGAGCCCATACTTACCTAAACAAAATAGACCAAACCCGTATATAAGAGAAACCCGGATATAAGAGACTTCTTCTCCGGTCCCGACAACTCTCTTATATCCGGGTTACACTGTACTGCATTATTCCAAAATTTTAACACGTCAGCAGATAGCTATTAATATCAACAACTGAGCACAAATAGTTATTAATTTAAAACAAGTAGCAATTAATGTATAATAATTATCCATAACTACATATACAAGAATGTAGTTTTTTTAAAAGTTAAAAAATAACCACAAACACGTAAAAAATGCCTATATTGCCGAAAATTCCCTTTTAGACAATATGGCTATTTGTGCTATGTTATAATGCTTATTACCTAAGCAATAATAATGCTGAATAATTTTTTTAAACATTAAATTATATTTAATCACATCTCCCCAATAACTGTCGCGATCTGTAAATAAGCATTACTATATTCTATTGTTTTGAAGCAAATTGAATCGATTTATCTAAGTTAAATGTTAAGTTAATTTTTCAAGAAAAATTATAAAGAAATGAAGTCATATAGTTTTTGTGACCCCGCTTTGAAAAACAAGTTATTGTTTTAATTTCTTTTTACGGATTATCAACCTTTTGCAGGTCATTTAAAGCCAGAAAATACTTTTAGGCTGTAAGATTTTTATTTTTTTGATATGATAATTACTAATTAACCCATAGCTTGGAGTAGAAGAGGTGGATTCATACCATTCCCAAGTGCATAGGCGCGTAACTGAATATAACGAACCCAACTGAAATTGGAACTCGGGTCTCCGATTAACAATTCTTTACACTATCCGTTATCCGTTACACCACCTGCACATCCAAGTTTACAGCAGCTGGCATTCTCGTGCGGTAACCCATCAAGGTACTCACCAGGTTCGACATTGCTTAACTTCGACGATCCTACGAGAATCGGTGCCTTAATGTGATATGGTCGTATACTTATCCATTATACGACCCACACCACCAAACTTACAGTACCTGGTATTCCCAATCGGTCCCCCATCTAGGCAGTGACCATGGTCGACGTTGCTTAAAATATTGTTGTTTTTCGTTTTCTTTGCTCAGCTAATCATTAATTTACTTGCCTTTGTCTTGAAAATGTTTAAATGCTTACTACCGTTAAACCTGTGGGCGTCAAGCCTCATTGGGGGTCTCAGGTAGTGACCCTCGCTATTTTATCAACGTTTGTTTTTTTTTCTACATATATTTATGTAAGTTACAAAGTAAACCAGTGAGAATTGACTTCGATTGATCGTGTGGGAGTCGGTGTTTCATCATGACGTCATAGAAGGAAGACAACAGTCGGCACTAAACTTGAAGAAGTCAAGATTTTAGTGACTGGAAAAAACCCTGCCGGGGGTCCCTTCGACAAAGCAATAGTTCTTGCGAAGAAGCTGTGGAGTGGAACTTCTTCCTTACGAATGGAATACGAAGGGAATGAGGATGATTTATCCTTGTGTAGGTGTTATGGCGAGATGCAATGGTCAGGGCTAGTGGAACCAATAAATCTAGGTCGTTAGAACATATGTTGCGGGATTAATTTCTACTTTTCTACAAGACATTTTTTGTGTCGATAAACCTCTTCTGCCAGATATAAATGCTAACACCACTTTGTTGCTATTTCTCATATTGCGTCCTGGGTATGACGATAAACTACATCAGACAGCAAGGCCCTGGATGAGAAGGTTTTGAGGAGCGTGCAACCTGACACAGGGTGGTAGCACCTGTTATGGTCCCAGCTATGGACAAATAGTTAACCCCCCAAAAGGGGTCAAAATACGATGAGAGTATAAAAATAGGTTTAATGCCAACAATACATTTTTGAAAAAATTTTTCACGAGCAATACATTTTTGAAAAAAAAGTATTACCAGCAATATTTAAAAAAAAAAAATTAACAGCAATACATTTTTGCAAAATATATTACCAGCAATACATTTTTAAAAAATAAAATTTACCAGCAATACATTTTTAAAAAAAAAAATTTTCCAGTAATATCGTAAAAACATGGATTTTAAACAAACAGTTAATGCATGTATTAACAAAAACAAATTACATAAATGTGTACACAATTGAAAGTAAAGATATGAAGAATGTGCTTTTCATGTGTGTGTGAAACACACGGATGTGTTAGTGTAAAAGTTCAGTCGTCAGTGGACTGGGGAAGCGAATGTGCCACAGTGAGGACGCTCTTATCTATATGCTATTTACATCTTGGAGCAAAAGGAAGGAAGGAAGGAAGGAAGGAAGGAAGGAAGGAAGGAAGGAAGGAAGAGGAAGAGGAAGGAAACGTTTGTCTTTCTACAGACTTAAACAGCGCCAGGGTTAGTGGAATCGACGTTTGGCGAATCCAAGTGGAGCAGCTCCTGCATGTACCATGGAAATAGGGATACAGAAGCAAATAGCTTGCAAAGGGGTTGTAAGGTCAAAATAATTAATCGTACACAGAGCCTCGTAGAATTCTATAAAGAGAGGCAAGTGAGGATTGTACAGCTCCAGCCAAGATATGGCAGTAATACTCCATTTTTGGTATTATCTGGCTTTTGTCAAGATAGAGTACAGCTATGTGGGGGATCAGGTACTAACTAGAGCAATACAATGAGCAATACTATTTTTCTAGAATCTTTGGCATTAGATTGGATAGGCACGGTGGAGTAATCAATAGCGGCTTGGACTGAGGAATCGGAAAGCCGAGTTCGAATTCCACACGAATCCATTACATTCACTTACGTGTTAATTCCACTGGGATATGAAGTATGAACTCTCTTCTTCTCCCCCAGTTATGGGTAAATAGCAGGGCAGACCGGATTCTATAGATCTTGATGGCAACTGTTTTACCGCAGAAAGAAATGGCAACCTACTGCGGGAAAAAATCTGCCTCGACAGTCATGTATCGAAAGATACATGATCGCCTAATCGTGTATCACGTATGGTACATAACTGACTGACGCTTTGGGAAAGGTATGAATCCTCTTCTTCTCCCCCCCAGCTATGGTTAAACAGCAGGTCAGACCGGATTCTATAGCCTTGGATGGAAACTGGTCTACTGCAGAAAGAAATGGCAAACTACAGCGGGAAAAAATCTGCCTCGTCAGTTATGTATCGAAAGATACATAATCGCCTAAGCGTGTATCACGCATGGCACATAACTGACTGAATAAGGAATCGGAGAGCCGAGTTCGAATTCTAGTCGAATACATTACATTCACTTACGTGCTAATACCATTGAGTATGAATTCTCTTCTTCTCCCCCCCCCAGCTATGGGTAAATAGCAGGACAGACCCGGGTTCTATAGCCTTGGATGGAAATTGGTCTACCGCAGAAAGAAATGGCAAACTACTGCGGGAAAAAAATCTGCCTTGTCAGTGATGTATCAAAAGATACATGATCACCTAAGCGTGTATCACGCATGGCACATAACTGACTGATATGTGTTTCACATGAGGTCTGGATTAAGTTTGAGTCCCAAGAGACGTTCAAGGCAGGAAGACTCTTTTAGTCAACACTCATCCATCTTGTTAGTTAAACAATTAAAAAAGTATTTGAAAACACGGGCAAGATAAGAACATCGATCATAAACGGGCCATAAAAATGTCACTGAAAGATAAAGGGAAAAAAGTTCAAAGGTCACTTTTGTAAGAAAACTCGATTGACCTCTCGAGAAAGGTAGGATTTAGAAGTTCCAAAACATTGGCTAAAGACATGAAAGCAAACAAACTAACATTTCTTAAATAAACATCACGAAAAAAAAAAAAGGAAGTGAGGGTGGTGAAATGGATAGCGGTACTAAATGAGGAATTGGAGAACCAAGTTCAAATTCCGGTCGGGTTTGTTACGTTAACTTACGCGCAATACTCTACGGAAACTATCTACTTCTTCCAGCTATGGATTATAGTAGGGCTTTTTGTTTAAACATTTCACCCGAAACAAGGCGATAAAGCCACTAAGACGCAAGGAGGGGCGGTCATTGATTTAAAAAGAGAACGAGAAGTACTAACATTTCTTAAATAAACATCACAAGCAATATAGAAATGAGATGGTGAAAAGTATAGCGGCTCGGAATGAAAAATCGGAGATCAAAGTTCGAATTCCGGTCGGGTTTGTTACCTTTCTTTACGCGCAATATCCTTCGGATATGTAGAAAATCATCTCCTTCTTCCAGCTATGGATTATAGTAGGGCTTTTTTTTTAAACATTTCACCCGAAACAAGGCGATAAAGCTACTAAGACGCAAGGGGTTATTGAGAAAGTAAGAGAACGAGAAGAATTTAATGAAGCGAAAGGACAATAAAAGAAAAGGTTTAAGAAATAGTGATTGTAGGTGACAGCAATGCAAGAAATCAGAAGAGAATTTACCGTTACATCAAGCTATTTCAACAGTAAAATGATGAGACCTAATAGCCAATCTAGTGCAGCTAGAATATCCATTATCCGAAATTTCCAAATCCGAAAACCTCCAAAATCTGAAAGTTCTTATGGTGTTGATTTGTCAAAATTTTCAAATTTTCGACGGATTTGCACCAAAATTTACATGCACATGCTCCAAGTTAATGGGAAGGCCAAGACCCACTTTGCATTTCCCAACTCCCATCGATAGTGGAAATAATCGATTTTTTCGTGCTTCTCCGGCACTTTTCATGTAGTTTGCGGCCATTTTCTACTTGCCAGCGTAAGAGCCAATAGCTGGCTGCCACGAATAGGCAGGAAGATTCTCTTGGCTAGCGTGAGGGCCAACAGCTGACTGACACGAATGTTAACTAGCATGCAAAAAAATCGATAGCTGCATTCGTCACAAGTGGGAAAAATTTAAATATGCATGGCACTTTACTGCAATTGGCTCATTCGCTTGCTTAAACTCAACGTTGATTCTGATTCCGCAGAACTGAGTTGGGTGTGAAAAAGTATTTGTTGTTAACATTCTTTTTTCATTCGGTATTTCCAGTTATGAGTCCTTTTTCAAAGCTGATCGTTTTGTGTTCATTTTGTTTAGTTCTTTTTTCGTAACAGATTTAATGTTTAGTATAAAGCTTAAATAAAATTCGCAGTGCGAGATAGGCAAGAAGTAAGGCATGTAGCAACATCAGTACGGCAAAGGGCACTCCTTTAAAGGCAAGGAAGGGCAAAAATATTTTAAGTAAAGTGATAGCGATTGCTGTATGAGTTGTACGATTTTTGAATCAAGCACGGGCAACGCCGGGCCATGCTGCTAGTTTCAAGATATTTTTATGTAATTTTGGTAAATATATCAGTTAAAATGAGATGTTAGTGTTATTTTCATTTTTGTGCAATTTAGATGATAATTTATCCACTGCACCTTGTATAAGCTGTGTTATGAAATGTAAAGGGATAGTTTGTTTCTGCTTGGATTCCATTCGCAAGCTGCCACACTTTATAGATGCTATATACAAATTAAATAGCGTGTATTCCAAAATCCGAAAATGTCTGAAAACCTCAGCACTTCCGGTCACAAGAATTTTGGATAAAATATTCTCAGTCTGTAGTAAGCTTAAATTCTTACGGTTGATATATTTGTAGAAAAGACACAAGGAAGCCACGTCAGGGAAATGAGGAAGTCGAGATGCCAGGCCAGATATCTGGAAAAAATCATTGTTATACTCAAAATTGATGTTAACGGAATATTCACGCACCAAAAGAATTTAAAATAGTTATCGTTACAATCTCAAAACATGTTTCGGCTTTAAATAACATCAGGCAGTTGTGATACACGCTTAGTTGATCATGTATCTTTCGATACATGATTGACTAGATTTTTTCCCGCAGTAGTTTGCCATTTTTTTCTGCGGTTGACCAGTTGCCATCCAAGGATAGAGAACCCGGTCTGTCCTGCTATTTACCCTGCTGAAAGGGGAGAAGAAGTTTCATACCTTACCCAAAGTATGAATTCTCTTCTTCTCCCCCCAGCTATGGGTAAATAGCA